TCTGCTTCTCTCCTCCTCCTCCTCCTGCTCCTCCTCCTCTCTCTCCTCCTCCCCCTCCCGTCGTCTTCTTCTCTCCTCCTCCTCCTCCCCCTCCCTTCATCTTTTTCTTGCCACCTTCTTCTCCTCCTTTCTCCTCCTCCTCCCTAAGTCGTCTTCTTCTTCTTCTTCTTCTTCTTCTTCTTCTTCTTCCGATATTTGAACTTGGTTTTTCCCTCGCTGGTTGTCCTTGCATCCTCTACTTCCACGACACTATGGCGGGCGGTGCCAGCGACATTGGAGGGGGGAGTGGCGGTTCTGGACGGAGGAGGGGCAAAACGGCAGCAGAAAAAGGAAAAGGAAAAGAAAATGTTGCAAGCACCTCCGCTACACCCTCATCCACAGTGACCTCCAAAGACCCCACGTCGGCAATGGACCCTTCGCTGTTCGTTCCACAAGACAAGGCGAGGCATGACAGGTTGCAGAGGGAGAAGCCTGTGTGGAAGTACGCAGAACAGGGTCAGGAAGCCGGGGAGAAAGGGAGAGGCGAGTATTGGGTGAGGTGTCGGTTGTGCATGCAGATTTGGAGGGGCACGAGCTCAAGAGCGGTGGAACATTACCTGAAGACGCAGAAGCCGTGTCCATCGCGCACAGGGGAAATGGTGAATGAGCTCGTCAAGTCCGGGGGGAAAGTGCTGCCGGGTGATAAGAGTACGCGGTACTTGCTGAAGAATTACAGGCAGTTGCACGGGATTCAGGAAGGGGGGGTCGATCAAACGGAGAAGGCCGACGAGGTGGTTGAAGTTCCCGCATACCTTGAGCCACAGCCACTGCCCATTGCGGGCAGGGCTGCTCCATCATGTGATGCAGGGGATTTGCACAAGGAGAACGCTTTGGAGGCGGCGGGGGGTGAGGCGGCGGGGTCGAACACACGGCTGTCCTCACTACATCAGTCAACAATAAGGAGGTGGGTGGACAACGATGCGCAGAAGAAACTGGACATCGCATGGGTGGAGGCCATGTTTCGTGTTGGGATCCCATTCAACTTCCTGAACTTCGATACCACCCAGAAACTCCACGAAGTGTACCTGCAAGTGGCAAAGTCTAGACTGCAGGTGAAACTGCCCTCCTTCAACCATATGAGGACCGTCATGTTGGACATTGTGTACATGCGAGTGCAGAAGACGGTGGAGCCGTTGACGACTTGTTGGGATGTCAGCGGGTGTACTTTCATCACAGACGGATCGAGTGGTCGTCGGGAGCGGCCCGTGATAAACTTCTTGGCAGCTGGGGTGGATGGGGCGGTTTTGGTGGCGACGGTGTCAATGTCCGGGAGGAAGAAGATCGGAACTGCATTGGCGAAACTTTGGGAGCAGATCATGAGGGAAATCGGACTGCGTCGAATCAATGCGATCTGCACTGACAACGCGGTGGTCAACAACAGGGCGGCTCAGATCCTGGAGCGACGAACGGACAAGGAGGTAGCAAGGATTCTGTGGCTTCCTTGCGCTGCGCATTGCTGCAGCCTTCTCTTGCGCGACCTCATTAAACTCGATTGGGTGAAGCACACCGTTAAGAGGGGCCACACAATCGTTAAGTTCATCAAAAATCACCACAGCACAAACAGTCTGATGATGACAGTGGACGATTCGCGCTCTCTTCTTCGTCCCACGGAGGTGTCGGGTTAGTCTACCAAATGTTGGAGAGGATACACGACAGGAGGGCGGTGTTGAAGGACATGGTCAACCGTCGGAATGCGGTAAAGTGGAATGCGATCCGATGGTCCACGTCGAAGTTGAGGGCCAGATCGGATCTGGTGTTCTTCACATTGAGGAGTGAGGAGTGGTGGGCGGGGTTGGACAAGGTGGTTGATGTGATGCAGCCCGTGTTCGGCCTCTTGAGGCGGATGGATCAGGACGATACCGGTCCCACAAACCTTGTCGAGTATGACGATATGATAGAAAGGAAGCTTAGCCATGTCGTTGTTACGGTGGAGCAGCGGGCGAGCGTGATGGAGAAAGTCAAAGATCGCATGAAGATGATGCGGCAGCCCGCCCACGCAGCAGCCTTTCTTTTGGACCCGCGCAGGAGAGAACCGAGGTGGTTGCATGACCAAGACAGTGCGCTTGTGCAGAACACCATGCACTTTCTCTCGAGGCAGGTTGGAGGTGAATGGAAAGGGCAAGCGCACCTTGACATTTGGAGTGACCCGAATGAGTTCCACACCAAACCTACAAGGAACGGCCCGAAAAGGAATGACACGAAGATGTGGGACCCCACAGCGAAGGCGGATGTTGACAAGAAGACACYGTCAGAATGGTGGGCAGCACACGGTGGCGACGTGCCCGAATTGCAGAAGGTTGCGATCAAGGTYATGGGCATGTGGAGCACCGCGTCACCGRCTGAGAGRAAYTGGGCTTCCATGGACTTCATCCATTCCAAACGRAGGAACAAGTTGTCRCCAGAAAGCTTGGCGAAGYTAGTGTACRTACACTGGAACATGCAGCTACTGCGTGTTCCGGAGACTAACAACAACGGATTTGTGGACTTGTGGTGTGACTTCGTCGAGCCCGCCCCGGAGCCTGAAGAKAACGATGGWTCGGTGTCGAAGGGGCCCGAGGTTGAGGCTGAGAAGACTGAGGAGGAGCTTGTGCGGGAACGGAGGCTCACAAAGACTCCGAAGGGAAGGGTTCCAAAATATCTCGAGGACAAGGACGAAGAGCTCACGGATGACAGTGATTTGGATGACGAGTTGTGGAAGGGGAAGTGCGGATTGTCGGAGAACTCGAGTGGCAGCGAAGAGGATGACGACGATGACTCCGATTTCGAGCTACGACCGGAGCCGTCTGTCACCGGCACGACATACGTCAGAAGGAGGCGGACCGGACGACAACGCAGAGAAGAGCCACGCCCGGCAGCGACGGAGCCCGGGGTAAGGGAAACTGCACTGTACAATCCGCAATCTGATGTCGAGTTCGCACGGCTAGACACGGATGTCGAGACGTTGCTGGAAACGAGAGTGGACGAAGATGAGGAGGGTGCGAACCGTGCCAAGGCTATGGCTGACCGGGAGACCGAACTCGTCAACAAACGTATGATGGAGGAGGAGGCCGCCGTGCAGCTATCCCGACCCGGAGAGAGATCGAGAGAGGTCTCAAACAAGCCACGGAGCACCAACAGCAGATCAATCAGGCATTGGAGGTTGAGGAAGAAGGAGAAGAGGAGGAGGAGGAGAACCAGGCTGAGGTGGGAGATTACATGGAACAGGAAGAAGAGGCGGAGGGCATGGTGCAACCACAAGAGGGAGAGGAGATGGAGCACCAAGAAGAAGAGGAAGGCACGATGCAAGGCGGGGAGGAAGAGGAAATGCAGCAGGAAGAGGAGGGGGAAGGATTGGCGCAGCAGAAGATGCAGCACGGCGAGGTCGATACAGCCCGTGAAGATGAGCCCCATCCCACAGCGACAGCAGTGTACACACGCAGGCCCCGGCCAGCGGAGTTTCCTGAGTCCGAGGAGAAGATACCGGAATTCCCCACAATGAGGGAGGATGTCAGCATGACAACCTGTGGGTGAGTCGAGTGGGCAGGAAGAGAAAGGAGCCATCACGGGACGCTCCTGCGCAGCCAAAACGTCCTCGTGGCAGACCACGGAAGCAGAAGACCGACACAGCCACTACACCGGTTAAAAAAAAGAAACAGCGCCTCAAGCGCAAGGCGGTCGTGGAGGATGACCCGGAATCAGCTGACTGCAGCGAATATCCATCTGAGGATGAGGGCTGCGACGTTGATTCCAAATGAGATCAGCATGTCCACAAGTGTGTGTGACAGTGTGTGTGTGTGTGTGTGTGTGTGTGTGTGTGTGTGTGTGTGTGT